AAACCCCGTCTCTACTAAAAAAAAAAAAAAAAAAAAAAAAAATTAGCTGGGCATGGTGGCGAGTGCCTGTAATCCCAGCTACTCAGGAGGCTGAGGCAGGAGAATTGCCTGAACCCAGGAGGCAGAGGTTGCAGTGAGCTGAGATCGCGCCATTGCACTCCAGCCTGGGTAACAAGAGTGAAACTCCGTCTCAAAAAAAAAAAAAGAATTGGTACATGTGCTATGTAGCCTGAGGAGTCCAAAGGTATATCGTCTGCACAGTCAAGGACCAGCAAAGACAGTTGTGTGATTCAGTGCAAGTTCAAAAATCTGAGACCTAAGGGAGAGCGTTGTTTAACTCTCAGTCTAAAGCTATGGACCTGAGCAACTGGGTGGGAGAAGGAAAGAATTCTGGTGTAAGTCTTCCAGTTTGAATGCTCAAGAACCAGGAGCTCTGATGTCCACAGGCAGGAGAAGATAGAGGTCCCAGCTCAAGAAAGAGAATTCACCTTTCCTCTAGCTTTCACTCCATTTTGGCCTTCAGTGAATTAGATGATGCCCACCCACACCGGTGAGGAAAGGTCTTCTTTACTTGGTCTACTGATTCCATTGCCAGTATGCTCCAAACACACCTTTACAGACACACTCAGAAGTAATATTTTACTAGCCACTTTGTCATCCCATCCCTTCTCCCAGGATAGTTGACACATAAAACATCTAGCAAGGCACTTTGCTAACTGAGTGAATATTGAATATGAAGTAGACCTAACACTAAAAGTAGCAACAGTCTAGTGAAAGTTTGTATGCCACTGAGGACAAAGTTTAAAAGAGGACAGAGTTTACTCATTTAGGGAGTGGGAGGAGTTGAAGAACTTACCAAGTGGCCAGAGACATCAATGTTGAAACATACAAGAAGGAGTGAAAATGAAGATCTGACGTTTAGGAAGAAGAATGAGCCCAGAATCAGAAAATTGAGACAGAGGCATTTAGATAGAGAGATAAATATTTAAGCCATAAAATTGGGTAATATCACCAGAAAGAAGTTTGGAAGAACATTTTTTGAGAGACAAAGAGAGAAAACATAAAGGCAATTGTACAAAAAGGCAGTCAGAAAGAACGAGAAATCAATAAAGCTAGTGTTTCAGAAGCCACTGGAGAAAGATCTTGCAGGTAAAGATATTAGTAAACATTGTATAATTAAAGAGAAAATTTGAAGAAGATTGTGATTGAGAAGAAATCAGTGGATTCGGTGAGGAAATGATTAGAGGTGAGTTTTAAAATAGGGTGCATGTATATGTATATATATACACTATTGCGTGTATATATATACACTATTGCGTGTATATATATATATTCGTATATATATACTAATGCACTTTGATTTTTCTGTACTTTATATATATATATATATAAAGTACAGAATATATACAAACTACAGAATATATATACATATATATGTGCATATATATGTATATATAAGCAGCACCACACATTATTCTTAAAACTTTCTCACCACCAAAGAATTACAATTATATGAGCAATACATTCATATTGAGAGTTCTGGCCTGTTTTCTGATAGCACAAAGAGAAGCAACGTATTAAGACACATTATTTTTTATATTAAAAAATAAAAGCTTTATCTTCAGTGAAGGATTCAGTGACTTTATGATCTGTCACATATTGATCAAATTGGGAGCAGAGAGTATAATTGTCTTTTAAAGAAGCTTAAGGATGTAACAAAATTAAAATTTTGTACAAATGGACAGATTTGGCAGATATTAGATTTTCTTTTCGGTTTGTTTGCTATTGTAGTATGTGTGCTATTTCTTTTGGAAAGGCAGAATTAAGCACATTTAGATGCTAAAGGGTGAAAAAGACCCATACTTCAAAATTTGAAAATCCTAGAGCCTGAGAATAAAGTTAATGGAGAATTTCAGCTCTAGCCCATCACTATCATAAAAGTAAATTCAAATTTAATTTTATCTCAAACCATGGAGGAGAAATATATGATTTAATAAAAGTTTCAGAATGATTTGCTTAAACTGTTAAGTGCCTTGTTAGACACAACCACAGAGTAAGTTCTACCTAAAAAAGTGAAACTCACTCAGTAGAAATAATAATAATAATAATCAGAGCCAAAATATAACTGTGTGCTTTCTATGTGACTGGTACAGTTAGAAAAGCTTTGCATGTATCATCTAATTTATTCTACATGATTTTCTCCAACAACTCCGTGAGGTGGGTACCATTATTATGTCAATTTTATAGACAGGGAAACAAACAGATAATTCCCCATGGTCCCACAAACAGTAATTGACACCCATAGGCTATGAATCTAGACAGTTTGAATATCTTAGTATCTAGTATCTTAGTGTCTGAGCTAAGGATGCTGTAGAAGCTAGACTGATTTAGAGTACGGAAACAGTTCCTCCCCCTCTTTCCTCAGGTCAACTGATGCTCTTTTAGATTGTGCTACTCTTGTAGGCTGTCAACTCCCCAGCTCCCTGAATGGATCACTGCTATAAATCTATACCTTAATCATTGTAACAGGGCTGTTTCTTTTTTGAGTATCAAAATCAAAATCAAATTCTGCTACCTAAAAATCTTTGTAAAGGAATCCAATGCAACTTGTCAGGATGCACCTAGAGAGATTCTTGAAAATAGCAAATGGAGCCCATTATACAATTCTGCAACAGATGGTTCATTTCCCATCAGCAAACAAAAGATCAGCTGTATCACCAAACAGTTTCAGTTAGATAATATTCTCCTGAATATGAAGATTTCTACTTGTCAAAAAGAAATCTGTTCTTCAAAGGAAGAGAAACAGGGACTTTTAAAAATAATTCAGCTGGACTCTGAATGATCTAAGGCATATGCTAGCTGCAGACAACCTGGTCACTCTGCTGTAGTTTCAAAAACAGCTGTAAATGAGACAAAACCATGAAAGCTCAGTGTCATTTCTCTGAGTGACTGGGATAGAAGAATTTTCAAGTACCTCAGCAGGTAGTGTCCGTTTCTTTCAAGCTTTTATCATTTTACTTCTTTTTCTAACCCTAATTTAAACAAAGAAAGAACAACACATATAGGAAACAATGAATCCAGAGTGATCACATCGCATGTTTGTGTGGCACCTTTCCAGATTGTTCTAATGTTCTTTAACATTTTTTGTACTTTAGGCACTGTTTATTTCATGTTTTGCTCATAGTGATTTTTACTGCTGTTTACTTGTCCCATATCTCTGTAAGTCATCTATGGACTGTAACTGAAGAATTACTTCTGTTGTTACGGGCTCTTGTTTTCATTAAACTTCCTTCAACAATTATTAACCTCTTCATCTACTAACACTATTTGTTCTGCTGTCTGTGGCTTTATGCCAATGAAAATACTTTGTTTCTATATCAACAACAACCAGAAAAATTCATTGCCATTGTAAGAAAAATATCTACTAAAAGTTAGTGAACATTTTCTGGCAACAAATATATAAGGTTACACAGCTTTTAATGTTATAAAATTTACCTTGCTTCTCAGGCCATTAATAGGGATTTTTTTGCCACCAAACTAATAACATTCTTAAATGCCAAGTTTTAATGCAATATTACCATAAAAACGTATATTAATTTGTTCATTTAGAGCAACACTTTTTAGCATTTTTGAGCATGTAGAGTCCTTTCAAAGTAGTGTTAATAAGTTATGGAGCCTCAATTTACTAATTTTCTTGAAATGTATATAAATTTTATTTGTAAGTATTGTATTCACTCAGGAATGTTTCTCAAAAGATTTAGACTTCTTCAATATATTATCCATAGCAATAGAGAGCAATTATATCATTTTCACACTTCAAGTCTTAGTAAGATTTACACTCATGCAGTTCTCTAACCAGTTTAATTATACTTCTATATCCACAAAGATGACAGAGAAATGGCATGAATATTCTGTAAGTCTACAAAAATGAGAGAGAGATGGCTTGAATTTCTCTAATGCTAGTCAACTGATTGCATTGTCTGAGTCTCAGTTAACTGAAATCTATAACTAAATCTCTTTCTTATACTCTTTCACATTGTTTCTTTACATTTTTGCAAACTTTGAAACTTATTATTTTACCATTTAAATGATATTCATTAGTTTCATTTTCTTTTTCTTCTCCTCTCCTACAGAGCTAGTTCCATATTTCATTTTCCTTCAGTCCTTGACAGGCTGAGCAGTTATAAAGACTTATTCTTAATACACAAGAAGTAACTGTATTATGTTTCAAACACCATACAGGATTGTTCGCCTTTCATCCTGATGTTAGTTCCCACAGAGAAAATAAAAAGGATTACTCAGATGATCTGTCATATTTGGTCTTACATGCTGTTCACGTTCAACTTCTAAGTCATCTTATTATTTACTAGACTACAAGTAACAGTCCATTCTCATGAATAACAATATCAAAATTAGACAAAATAAGACTTTGTAAGCACTTACGGACTAAATCTAGTGTGTGTATTTAAGTTAAATAAAATAGCTAATGTTACAATATCTAATTAGTACAAATTACATGTCTACTTTAAACTTATTACAAGATTTATTTATAACATGTGTAAGCTAATGTTTTATGTAGATTCAGTGGTGGTTGGTAGATGATGATTGAACAATGGGAAATTATAACTTATGTTCTAATGGAAATGTAGTCTGTATTACCACATGTAAGTAGAACAAAAATAATTGGAAGGGCCAAAATGGACATGAGAACAGAAGTAAAACTAAGAAGTATTTTAAGCATATAATACATGCATACAAGTATAATTATTTATGAAATGATATTTGATTATTTTATTGAATTGAAACTTGGATATCTTCTAATCTAGAGTTTCTTGAACATATGAAAAGCTGAGACTCAACGAAGTCTTGTTACTGCCTAAAGTCACAGAGTAAATCATGGACAGAACTTGACCAGAAACCTAACTTCTCAACTTTTATCCCTTGAAAATAAAGTATTTCAGTCAAATAATTTGCTTTATGTTACTTATTGTTTCCAATAGGGAGACCCACCTGTAGCTGTGCACTCGGTTTCACTGGGCCCAACTGTGGTAAGACAGTCTGTGAGGATTTTTGTCAAAATGGAGGAACCTGCATTGTGACTGCTGGAAACCAGCCTTACTGCCACTGCCAGCCAGAATACACCGGAGACAGATGTCAGCACTGTAAGTAAAAGCAGCACCCAGAGGCCAGCTTGGCAGCATGCTTCGATGTTTACATTCATCTTCTGATTTCCCATGCCCACTCCTTCCATTGTCTTAATTTTAGCTGTCCCCTATGTTTCAGGTTAAGTCTCTGTGACTCCAACAATTATTTTTACATTCCTCATCTTTCTCTTATTGTAGAGATTTTATCTTTCTTCTTCCCTCAGCTTTGATTCTATGGTCCATTATTATAACCATTCCCTGTGTACACCCTCAGCTCCCTTGCTCTCTGTTCCCCTCTTTTGCACTTCTTGGAAAACCCTAACCATAGTTAAATTCAGCTGTCCATCTCTCCTGAATTGGCATCCCATAGATGAATGCAATTGAAGAAATACACATAATTTTATTTGTTGGTCTCATTTCAATTTTTATCACTAATTTCAAATGCGCACTTACTAAGGCTTTCTATGTAGTTCCCTAAGCCATTGAGTCTCCCACTCCCCTAGATGTCTACGTCACACCTTCTCCTTTTCCTGAAACCTTCAATGCTTTCTCCCCAACTCTACCCTCAACTGAGAAACTTGCTTTATATTTCATTGATACAAATAGAATCCATCTAAAGAGAGCTGCCACAAACTTGCACTAGCACATCCACTGAGCTGTTTTCTCCCATGCCTGTGTACTTTTTGAAATAGTTGAAATTCTCAGTTTGAATCAACCTCACTTGCCTCGTCTGATTCTGGTCATTTTTACTTAGTATTTTTGTTGATTATGTGTATTCCTATTACTTGTCTAGGATCCTTTTGAGACTGCCAACAATGACACTTGCCAAATGAATAAAAGAACAAACAATCACATGAATAAGTAAATAAATAAAAATGAATAATTTGAATAAATCTTAACAAAAGAACAATCAATTTAAAATCAATTTACATTCAATGTAAAATTACATTTAATCAGTGTTCAACCATTTGGTAGCTATATGTGGTTCAAGTAGAGCTTGTATTTTCTCCTCTGTCTTTTGGTTCCTAATTAGTAGAGCATCATAGAACATGTCATTTCCCCCCTGTGTTTTTATTTTTCTTCAGTTGAAACAACAGTATTCTTAATTCTTTTTAAACTAAGTTTAAAAATACTACCTGGCCATAGTTTGTATAGCAATCTTGATCCTTCCAAAGAATAAATTTAGGTAGCTTATGTTTTAATTGACAACTTAATAGAACCACAGTCTAAGGTAGCCTGATGCTTTATAAAGAGCTGCATTATAATTTTATTATCAAGATTAGTAGTCAGAGCGCTTCCCACCTTTTACTGCAAAGTACTTATTAAAATTAACCAATTAATCCTTAGACAGAGGTTAAATAACTTGCTCAAGGTCCCGAAGTAGTAATATTATAGTCAGAATTGGACCCCAGGAGTTGTTGATCAAGATGTCAACAAACATTCTTGCAGTATGGTGATGCTGTTTTTTTGGCAGCATAATAAGTCTGTGGACAGTGTAATTAAAATGACAAATTCAACACCTGACAAAAGCATAATAAATTTAGGATCTATTAGATGTAAGCCGACAAGGTTCAGTAGACCTGGTGTTCTGTCAAAATTGTATCTTGCATATACAAAATCTTCTTTCTGTAAAAGAAGGAATGACAGAATGGTTCATTACAGTGCCTAATTAAAGGTCCATTAGTGGGAGGTAAAACATCAGTTCTTAGTTGTGCTGAGTAAAAACATTTCATAACTCTAATAGCAATATAAAATCCTAGGTCTGAAATGCAAATTAATTTTAACAGCAGCAGCCCAGGGAGGAGAGACAAAGATAAATAATGGCAAGAGTGAAATCAAGTGTTCTTTAAGTAAGTTGTTAAAGAACAAATATAGCTGCTCTTCTTGCTATTCTAGAACAAGGATTCCTAGTATAAATAAAAATAAATAAACAAGTGAGCATGACATTTTGGATTTAAATTTAGGTATTAAGTATGAGGTCAACCAATAGCTGAAGTTATTTGTGATTAAATGATAGTAACATTAAGCCAAAGAGGCCAATTAAGACAGATTGGATCTGTGTCTACGAACTAGGTAGTGAAATTAAGTGATAACCTGCTTGTCCTCTCATGGATGCTTTCAAAGTCCTCTAGCAATCTGCTTGGGGAACCATTATAATTTTAATTAGAACTAGACTTTTCAGAAGTGTACTTGTATGGCTTACACTCACTGATCCCAGTAAGTACACACATTAAGTAATGTCTCTATCTTAATGAATGTCTCCACTTCCAGAGTTAGAACTACCCTGCAGTAGTCCAAAGATACCACGTTTTGTAATTGGTATTAGAACCATAGACTCTAAAGTAGATTATAAAACAATTATGTACCATAGATATTAGCCTATCCATATTTGATGACATGATGGGATTATTTTTATCACTTGTCTTCTAGGGTAGCTTTAGCTCATGAGTCAGTTCACCAGTGAATATGTTTTGATGTTTACAATGAGCCTGTCATTATGTTAGGCATTAAGAAAGGAAATGGTGATGTCAGAAACATTTTCTATTTTCAATGAACTCATAGTGTAATGTGTGATTTTAAAAGGGAAACAAGTTACTTCAGGTCAATTTAGTGAAACACAGAGGCTACCAGAACCCACAGAAAGACCATAGAATTTAGCTTTTAAGAGAATTTCTTAGACTCAACAAAAACAAAGTAAACTTCAAGCCGATATCCATGATGAACATAGATGTAACAATCTTCAATAAAATACTGGCAAACTGATTGCAACAGCACATCAAAAAGCTTATCCATCATGATCAAGTAGGCATCAGCCTGGGGATGAAAGGCTGATTCAATATATGCAAGTCTATAAACATAATCCACCACATAAACAGAACCAAAGACAAAAAACACATGATTCTCAATAGATGCAGAGAAAGCCTTTGACAAAATTCAACAGCCTTTATGCTAAAAACTCTCAATAAACTAGATATGGATGGAAACTATCTCAAAATAATAAAAGCTATTTATGACAAACCCACAGCCAATACCATACTGAATGGGCAAAAACTGGAAGCATTCCCTTTGAAATCTGGCACTAGACAAGGATGCCCTCTCTCACCACTCCTATTTAATATAGTATTGGAAGTTCTAGCCAGAGCAATCAGCCAAGAAAAAGAAATAAAGGGTATTCAGTTAGGAAACGAGGAAGTCAAATTGTCTCTATTTGCAGACAACATGATTGTATATTTAGAAGACCTCATCATCTTAGCCCAAAATCTCCTTAAACTGATAAGCAACTTCAGCAAAGTCTCAGGATACAAAATAAATGTACAAAAATCACAAGCATTCCTATACACCAATAATAGACTAACAGAGAGCCAAATCAAGAGGAAACTCCCATTCACAATTGCTACAAAGAGAATAAACTACCCTGGAATACAACTAACAAAGGTACTTCTTCGAGAAGAAATACAAACCACTGCTAAAGGAAATAAAAAAGGACACAAACAGATGGAAAAACATTCCATGCTTATGGTTAGGAAGAATCAATAAGGTGAAATGGCTATACTGCCCAAAGTAATTTATAGATTCAGTGCTATCTCCATCGAGCTACCATTGACCTTCTTCACAGAGCTAGAGAAAAACATCTTAAATTTCATACGGAACCAAAAGAGAGCCTGCATAGCCAATACAATCCTAACCAAAAAGAACAAAGCTGGAGGAATCATGCTACCTGAATTCAAACTATAGTATAAGGCTACAGTAATCAGAACAGCATGGTACTGTTACCAAAACAGAGACATAGACCAATGCAACAGGACAAAGGCCTTGGAAGAAATGACACACATCTACAACTATCTGATCTTTGACAAACCTGACAAAAACAACCAGTGGGGAAAGGATGCCCTGTTTAATAAATGGTGTTGGGAAAACTGGCTGCTATGTGCAGAAAGCAGAAACTGGAGACCTTCCTAACACTTTACACTAAAATTAACTCCAGATGGATTAAAGACTAAAATATAAGACCTAACACCATAAAAACCTTAGAAGAAAATCTAGGCAACCATTCAGGACATAGGCATAGGCAAGGACATCATGAATAAAACAGCAAGAGCTTTGGCAACAAAAGCCAAAATAGACAAATGGGATTTAATTAGACTAATGAGCTTCTGTACAGCAAAAGAAACAATCATTAGAGTGAACCAGCAACCAAAAGATTGGAAAAATTTTTTGCAATCTACCCATCTGACAAAGGGCTAATATCCAGAATCTACAAAGAACTAAATCAGATTTACAAGAAAACAAACAAACCCATTCAAAAGTGGGCAAAGTAGACGAACATACATTTTTCAAAAGAAGATATTTACGAGGCCAAGAAACATATGAAAAATGCTCATGATCACTCATCATTAGAGAAATGCAAATCAAAACCATGCTGACATACCATCTCATGCCAGTTAGAATGGCAATCATTAAAAAATCTGGGGACAACCGATGCTGGAGAGGATATGGAGAAATAGGAACACTTTTACACTGTTGGTGGGGGTGTAAATTAGTTCAACCATTGTGGAAGACAGTGTGGCGATTCCTCAAGGACTTAGAAATAAAAATTCCATTTGACCCAGCAATCCTATTACTGGGTATTTACCCAAAGGGTTATAAATTGTTTTATTATAAAGACACATGCACATGTTTGTTCACTGCAGGACTGTTTACAATAGCAAAGACCTAGAACCAACCCAAATGCCCATCAATGATAAACTGGACAAGGAAAATGTGGCATATATAAACCATGGAATACTATGCAGCAATAAAAAACGATGAGTTCATGTCCTTTGTAGGGATATGGATGAATCTGGAAACCATCATTCTCAGCAAACTGACACGAGAACAGAAAATCAAACACTGCATGTTCTCACTCATAGGCGGATTTAGAACAATGAGAACACATGGACACAGGGAGGGGAGCATCACACACTGGGGTCTGTTGGAGGGAGCTAGGGGAGGAACAGAATGGGATGGGGAGATTGGGG